AAGTATATAAAGAAACTTTACTCTAAAGGTTATGAGCTAAAAGATACTTCATGTAAAATGAAACCAGGTTGTTCCAACTCCAGTGACGAATTTACCAAACATTGTGATGCCATCTAATGAGATGGTTAATTCCGGTTATCTTCATTTCAATCCAATGCAGCAAGTAGTTACCAATTCTGATCCAATGTCATGCTTCAACGTAGGGTCATTTTTTCCCCTTTTCATTATGATGATATATATATCATGTAATTTAACTTTGGTTTAATCATTTTTTTTTTTGGTTATGTTTGATTATGTTTTACAGAATGGTTTAGCTTCTACGATGTGGGACTCTGATGTGCAGAATCTTTATAGTAATTTAGGAGTTTGATTACCAAGGATCCCCAACTTAACAGTGTTCCCTAATTCTTGACCATTTTCAGGTAGCAGTCAACGTTCCTTAATTATAACAGTGATGATTATTTGTCATTTACTTTTGGTTAATGTTTCAGACTTTTTGGGACAAGCTAGTTCGAACACATTCAAATTTTTTACAGATATAAGATTTTGATTCTGCAGATTATTGGGACACAAAACTTATTTTTCAAGTGGGAAGATCAAACTCATTGTTTCCATTGGAAGAGAGCAACTCATAGCTGTTATTACTAATTTCATTGAATCTATTTAGTTGTTCTGCTCATTGTTTTAGTATAGTGTATATATTTTGTATAGTACTAAAGATGCAAGAAACATAAGTAAAAAAAAAGGCTAGACCGGTAATATATTTTACCTTTGATTTCGGGATATGCTAAAAGTAATATTGTATCTTTGAATGATTTACATTTGAGTCTTTGCACTACTGTTTCAATCATCATCGACTAGATTTCTGTGGGATTCAGTGATTAGTCAGCTTTGGCTTGTGATTCCCTCAATTAACAAAAACATAAAAGTAATACTACTATTAATGAATTTTTTTTTTCATCTAAAATATTATATTAAATCAAGTAACATATATGCAGGGCCGTGCCTAGCTATTTGGGGGCCCAATGCA